TGAAACCTTACCATCAGCTTCATAACTCTCCCGTCCACCCTGCCTCACAAGAAAAAAGAACTCAAGAGTTCGCAAGCTTTGCTAAAACGCAACACTGACACTTAGCATGTTTAAGCCCCAACAAAATGATGGGCTTTGAGTGACCGCTGGCCTCTAAAGTACGAAGCACCCCAAGCTCATAGCAATGTCCAAGAATTGTGAGTTCCAAAATGGCGAACAGACCTTTTGCAGATTATACCATTAGAATTAGAATTAGAATGGCAAGCATAACAGAAACAGAGGACACAAAAGACAAGATATATAATGCAGAAATGCAAGCATAAAATACAAGGTACTACTCCAAATAATATTATTACATCATCACCTTAAGTACTATTCAAAGTTTAAAACGCAACGATCTTTATATTGCCACTAACACCATTTCTGTAACACTTCACTGACTCTCACACTGCAAGAATCTTGCACTATTTGACAAATTAGTAGTGTACAACCTGATCCTCATAGTGTAAGAGACAGAACACCACTGAATACATCTTTCCTGTAGGTTGTGTGAACACTGAGCGTTTATTATGAGTGCCTCTCTAAATGGACAGTTTTCTTCCCACCAATACCAAACTTCCTCTAACACTATTTCATCCCTCAGTAATATAGACACTAGGCCCTGTCTCTTTGGTGTCAGATGGTAGAGGAGGTTTGCCTGTTAGAGTACAGCTTGCATGATCATCATACCATACCATACCATCATACCACTTACAAATAATAAATCATGAAAACCAATTTGCCCAGTGAAGAAAGCTGCATGTAATGGCCGGCCTTGTTTATCCACAATCTGAGCTGTAAAGCAGAAAATACTCTATTGACTCACTATATGACACTAGACATCTTCTATAGGCATTATCTTTCAGGAGAAGTAACAAAAGTTACGGGAATCTTGTTTGGACAATTCTGGATATTGACCCGGTACATTGTGTCAAATAGCAACTTAATAGCAACTATTGTATTTTATATGTCTTTGTGGAGAAGCAGAGAGAAGAAACTACAATCTGCTACTCTGTTTTGTACAGAAGTTCATGTCAAAACAATAAATTTTATTTCACGGACATGCTCTTCCTGACATGTTAAAATGTAATTGGCCTTAAAAACAATTCTTCACACAGTGATTGTACAATACTCCTTTTTACAAAAAATTCTTACCTCTTCTTTGGTAAAGCTCTTCAGGGTCCTGCAAGAGTTGTAAGTAAAAATAAAATACCATTTACCTACAGGTGTAATATATAACCAAGAAAAAAATATATGCCTACAATGTTGCGATCATCATACATTTCTGGGAATTTGTCCACCTAACCCTCCCCTAAAAGCCAACATTTTGGCCTAAGTGACAAGTAAGTGTTAATGGTTGCTTAGGGGAGGGGTAGGTATGCAGTTTCTCAGAAATGATCCTGTTGTCCTTGAGGGCATGTTTTATGATGTCTGACTGGTTGTTGATAATCAGGATAGTTCAAGGAAAAAGACAATGTGCTATTTAAAATTGGACATAGTTTGTTACCAGCCGTTTCCAACAAGCACATATTCAGTGCTAAATATCATATGCAACAGGAAAACAAAAATTATGTTCAGAATTTATCTCCAGAAGCTACAGCAAACATGCCAAGAAAAATCCCATATAGCTGGAAGCACCGCCTATTCAAACAAAATAACTTTTTAAGAGGAGAACAATTAACAATTATTGGATGAGGTTGAGCAAAATATCGTTATTTGTCAGTGGTGAGACACTGACAAATCATGATATTTTGGGATAACCAAGTTCAATAATTGTTTTATCATTCGATCACCGAGTTTGTTTTTTAAGGAATATCTTCGGGAAGCAAAGCAATCTGGCATTTTCACGCAAGTGATCGCAAAAAGGAGAAAAGAGTGGTTTTATTTACGCATGAGGAGATTTTAGTATTTGCAGCCAAAAACAGTTGAACAACATTGCACATGAGCACACCATTATTTGCAGGTCACGAGGCGGGCTCTCGGCCAATGAAAAGGAAGAAACATTTGCATCGAACGATAAATCTGGGATATTTGTTTCTCAACACTTTTGTTTGATAAAAACAAACACATTATGAATCATAAAAAATAAAACAAATGTAGGTCATAAAAGTATCACATTCATGGCTAAAATTCTTCAACTGGTTGCACAAAATGCACTGAAATGCTCTTTTCAGTGTACTTAAACACTGCTAAGCCACATGAAAGTCTTTCAGATCCCTTCGTCTAATCGATTGTCGCCTACTTTAATATTTTTTCTCCCTACACTCCACATTGTAGAACCCTTCATTAACTAACTTACTAACCTTAAACTGGGGCCGAGCATCTTTAGCATAGAGCCCAGATGGCATCAAGTATTCAACAGCTTCCTAAAAGTAACATAGATATTTATACAGGACATAGCAAGGTTTGGTTGGATAATGTACAGTGAACAAAATTAACGTATTTTGAATGCCAGTATTATTACGTATGTTGTGTTTTTGGGGGAGGGGGAGTTGAATAACTTTTACTACAAATTAAGACGGAATCCACTGGGGCATCGAGTAATTTTGATTTTCAGTGGACAAAAATCTTGTACCAGAACAATTTAAAGCATATTGCACTCTTTCTTACATTTTTCAAGGGCTAAAGATGTAATAAATCATCTGTAGTATACCTGGCATTGCGTGACATAGAGAGAGAGGGGGCTGGGGCCAGTACATAAAAAAAAATTTCTCATGGGAGCCCGAGAAAATGAATGTCAAATTTCACAAAATTACATCTTACACATGAAATTATTAGAATTTTACCTGTATAATCACAATTCTTGTGAAATTTGACATTTATTTTCTCAGACTTACATGAGAAATTTTCTTTGGTGTTACTAGAGATGATTTATTACATCTTTAGCCGCTGAAAATGTGAAAAAGAATACAATATTATTTAAGTTATTCTGGTACAAGATTTCTTGTCCACTGAAAATTAAAATTCCTCAATTTCCTGATGGATTTTGCTTTAATAATTTAAGAAACTAGCAAGAACAAGACTAGCAGCTGGCTGGAAGAGTGTGTTAATTTTCCACAAATTTGTGTCAAATGATTTTTAAAACTTTCAAACCAGTTTGAAAAAGGAGCTTTAAACATTTTTATGTTTTAAAAAAATTCAAACCAAAGATTAAATTTGAACCACAACATTTATATAATAAAAACAGAATAACCACTTGCTCAATGTCAGGTACTTCAACTTTAGCATACATACCTTGATTTCCTTATCACTGAATGTCTCTGGATCCTTCCCCATTATTTTTGCAAGCCACTGCCGATATCTCTCATATTTAGCTGCCATTTGCTGCATTAATGGATCTAAGAGCCCAGCAAAAGTAAACAAAAGCTTCATGGCATATGATGTATAATGTCATAGATAAAATCCACTCTCAAGTTAAACCAGTGAAGTTACCATGGCTGGAACCCTAGCAAAAGGCTAAGCTTAATGCCAGGTCAAATTATACATTTTTGTTTTGTACATGTAGTTTAACCAAAATAACTGAAGATGATCATTGATTAATTGAACATGTTAAATAACTAAAAGATGTAGTTCATTTTATGAGAACAGATATACCTTCTAACAACATCAATTGTACTAATTGCTTAGTCTAAAATAAAACAGCAAAATAAAATTATTTGCAATTCAACCACTGGGGTCCCCGCAAAATAAAGAGGAATGAGTACAGAAATTCCTCCTACCCAAATCTGGGTGATACTTCTGGCCACACTTGTTCAAACTTTGGATTGCACTATCCTTTCATAAATCACAATCCAGTGGATAAGTAATGGAGAATACATATATTTGCACCATCCAGTGGATAGAGATTTGTTAGTGGATAGTGGTATCCAGGCACCTTTTGAACAACTGGGGTCTTCAACCAATCAGAAGTACCTGACAGATCTGTGAAGTGACAGGTCATCAGTGTGAAATTTCTGCGCTTAAAGTTCCTCGGATGACATTTTGCCAGGAAACTGGTGGTTGCATTGCAAAATGTTGGTTATTTTCTCCGCTGTCACTAAGAATTCAAGTTGCCGGGTAAATACAGCGAGTAGGTGGGAATTAATCAGCTAGGGATTTCTTTTGATTTCCGCTTAATAGAGGTGTCTCCTGAATAGGGGTTCCTTATAAAGGGAAATACAAAACGTTAGTTTCGGGACCCAGGTTAGTGTCTGCTTAATAGAGGGTGTCTGCTTAATTGGGGGTCTGCCTAATAGAGGTTTCACTGTACTTAAAGTGACAAAGGCTTAAAACGTTAAAGAGTCAAATATGGTTTACATACCATCATCATCTTGACCATCCGGTGGTGTTGACGATGCAGCATCTGTACTTGCTGTTGCATCAGCTTCAGTTTCTGTCACCATGGACTAAGAATACATACAAAATTAACTTATTCAATCACCGAATTCTAGTTTTTAAAATTATCTTTTTTATTCCAGAACACTGTGCTATCAAACTTATGTTTTTTGTTAAATGATTATAATAGATTTAAATTATAATTGTAGCGGATGAGATAAAACAGAACTTTATAACAGAGTCATAGCACACTTTTAGTCAGTCCAGACAAGCAAAAAAACCTTCTCTCTACAGTCCCCAAGCTGTTTCTGTGCAATTTCTGACCCTAACTAGTCTAGAGGCAGGGCTATAAAGGGGGGTCTGGACTCTAATTTAAATGATCCCATCCAATTCTAAGATTTGTTAACAATCACGGATCCAGGAATTTTTGATTGGGGGGATCCAAGCTTTGGTTCAGAAAGAACTGTTGAACTATTTTGTGGCAAATTGCTTCTCCCCCACACCCCCAAGACCTCCTAATACCAGTCATGGTTGCATGTTATATTCCTTGGCCCCTTCTCGTGTACCTGAATTCCTACTCATAAAGGATGCATAATTGTCGACAAGCTGAAAAAGCAGAGACAAACACGTTTCTCAATCTGTGAATGCCAGTCACTGTTGGCACAGGAAATACTGCTTTGGGAGCAGAGGCAAACAGATCATAGGAGGACCCAAAAACAATTATTACATTTTTGAGTATCCCTGGAATTTAGTTTTGTGGCAAAGTGAAATGCACATTTCATTTAACAAGTCAGCCAGTTTAAAAGTGTAAGAATTTCAGTCTCAAACAAGTTAGTGCAAGGTCCGATAGTAGAGGGTGGCTGGACCCCCCAGACTCTCCCCCTGGATCCACTACTGAGGAGGATAATGATGGTTGAAGGCACGTAATGATGGTTGAAGTTTTCTGTAAAAATTATCATGAACAATGGTACATAGGTTAAGATTGATCAACTGTAAACTAGTTTCCATGAGTAAACAAGACAGTGAACAATGACTGTACTGCCCCTGCATTTGGTAACTCCCACAGTAAATGACCTGCACATGTTGTTAACTTACTGAGTTGTCCATCCTTGCTAAAGGAAGCGCATCCAAAAAACTTGACCCTTTGTCATTTGCAAAATACCGTTTCTGGGATACCTGTAACACATTAAAAAAATTTGCAGTTCAGTCAGCATATTATCCATGAAAGGTTCCAAGAATATTATAAGGGTGGTCGTTGATAATAAGATCTCCAGAAGTTATCATCTCAATTTCTTTTTTTTATTTTGTAATCCTAATTATTAGCACAAAGCGCTCGCAAGCAGAGCCCCAAAGCTAAGAAAATTTGGTAAATCAATCCATCCAAGAAAATTTGGTTATAACGTCAGTGTATGGGGGAGGGGGAAGGAAGGAAGTCAAGAGTCAGCCCATTGGGGATGGAGTAAGAACCCTGCTCATTTTGGGGGTAAATCACTGCATGGCCGCCTGGACTTTTAGAGATAGAAAAAAACAGAAGACGAGGGTTTCTTTCCACTAAATGATTTTAATGTCTACAGTAACTTGGATAACAGGGAAAGAGATAGAGCGAGAAATATATAACAACAGAGACCAATTTCATTGGAAGAAAAACGAGAAAATTATACAGCAGCAGTGAGAAAATGACAAATGCTAGTGGCTACCAATGTGAAAAATTATGAGAAGCAGTGAAAAGACAGAGTGAACAGGAACACAAACATAATTCTTCAGTAAAATGTGTAAATAGGAAGTTAAAAAGAAGTTTCACATTTTAGTAGTGCAAAACATCGGCATGGAAATGTACAAAAAAAAGTGTGCTGCACGTGCAAAGTTGTTTTTTTGCTAATTCATCGGCATGGAAATGTACAAAGATCGGCTATTTAGGGGACGGGAATGGGGAACAGGGAACTGGGAACAGAGAATCTTTAAAATGGGGAATCTTTAAAACAAGGAATCTTTAAAAGCCGGAATCTTTAAAACGGGGAATATTTAACAGTGGGAATCTCTAAAGCGGGGAATAGTTAAAAGCAGGAAACTTTAAAACAGGGGAATCTTTAAAAGCCGGAATCTTTAAAATGGGTAATATTTAAAACAGGGAATCTTTAAAAATAAATGAGGAATCTTCAAAAGCTGGAATAATAAGGAATCTTTAAATGCAGGAATCTTTAAAACAGAGAATCTTTAAAAGCAGGAATCTGGCTTTGCATCACCACGGGAATTCGCGTTAATGTATGTGACCAAACTTTCCCAAGGGTAAAACTCCCTCTGGCAATGATGTTTGAAATTCTTATTTCAACTGTGGCTTAATTTTACTGGCGTCACCAGGCATGAGGACGAATGTGGGAAGGGCTTGCAAGCAACATTAAACTTTTTCTCTCAGATGCAATTGTTCCATACCGTTCGGCATCTTTTTCATTTTATGCACATAAAGCCATTAAAATTTACGCCCGTTGACAAAAGGAAACCTTAACAACAGTGAAAATTTCATATTGCCTTCTTGAAGTTCTGGTTGTTGTGGTTGCTTAAGCTGCATGGATTGGCCTTATCTACAGCAATTTCTGGTTTGTGTTTGCGATGCCAAAATCATCAATTTTACAAGCAAAATTAATCACTGAATTGAATTGGCAGTCTTAGAGAGAAATGCATGGGAAAACGTGGTTGTCATCTGCAGACAAATTCCCCTGTGAGTGAAATTGAACCTGTGCATTGCCGGGCATAATTTTATGAGGCAATGTTCAGTGGCATTCAATAATAATGAGATTATAGAGTCCAAAGATGCATTCTGATGTCTTGGATTAGTTTTATGGTTCTTTCCTTGTTGTGGTGTGATACTCATTCAGAAAAAGTACCATTCTTACACACAAAAAGAAAACAACTAGGAAAATGTATCTCCAGTGGATAAAGAAAAGACTTGAAAACCAAAATTGTATCTGGTAGCTATAAATTCTCCCAAAGGTGTTCCAGATGACAGGAAAACCATGGAGTATTAAAGACATTAAAGCGGCAGGCAACATTCTGCCCTATGCACCTCATGTTGATGCTAGGTCAACATCACTGGCTGAATTTAAGCTTTCCTTGGCTTGGCGATTTGCCTCGGTTTTCCTGGGAAGAGAAAGTTGGCCACGATATCATAGGGCAAGGAACATTTGGACCATTTTTGCTCAGTACAGCTGAAAAATTGCTCAGTACAGCTGAAGAAACTGTCATTAAGGAGGCAAAGATGATAAGGGAGTTACAGCACAACAACATTGTATCATTCAACGCCATTTGCAAGGAGCCTATGACGATGATGTCAGATTTTCCATTTAAAAGATTCTCACTTTTAAAGATTTCCCATTTTAAAGATTCCCGCTTTTAAAGATAATTTCCATGTTTTAAAGATTCCAACTCTTAAAGATGCCCACTCTTAAAGATTCCTGCTTTTAAAGATTCCCCCATTTTAAAGATTCCCGCCTTTAAAGATTCCCCATGTTAAAGATTCCCTGTTCCCCAATCCCGTTTACCATTCCCATCCTTGTATCAAAGATAGCCAAGTAGATCTATTGTTGTTGTTTTTACCGTTCTCGTTGTCTTCACCTTGTCTTTAGTATTCGGTCAGCGTAAAATGAAGACTGTGGACTGCTGGACTGCAGACTGCGGACCAAGGGTAAAATGCAGACTGAGTGTAAAATGCAGACTGCAGACTGATGGTAAAACGCAGGCTGGGTGCAAAATGCAGAATAAAGACTGTAGACTTTTTTAAACATTTGTGCTCCTTCTTGTCCAAATCGGTGAAATAGCTAGCCAGTATCAGTTACACACTTCACTTCCTAGTCGAAGTGCATTGCACATTCGCCAGAAGTTTCAATGAACATCCGAACAGCTTAAGTCTGCGTACCTTGATTTGCAATACTTTCATAGAAGCTCATCCAAATTTCCTGCAGAACATCTTTCTTTGTTGTTGGAATGATTTACTCCCTATTTTTATTGCCACAATTCTTCCTGTACAGTATTTTGGGTCAGCAGCTTTCATTTAAGCGTAAACATGGTGGCGTTGGTGTTGTACCAATTCACGGTCCCTGGTCACGTATATCGAAAACTTTGCATCTAAAGTTGAAGCGTGACGTCTCTCGGATAGAAAAAAAGGTTCAAGATTGCGATTATGTTTTTGGGTCGTCGATGACGTTCTAGAGAAGAAAGGAATGGATTTGTGAAAGCAGATGTCGTCAAGTAAATGTTCGTTTACTTGTATTTGCGGGATTTTTTTGCCCTTAAACCCTTCCACGACTACAGTTTATGTTTGGTCTACATTTTACCCCAGCCTGCGTTTTACTCTTAGTCTGCATTTTACACACAGTCTGCAGTCCGCAGTCCGCAGTCTGCGTCTTACATTGACCACTTTAGTATTACTTGATTTTATATTTTCTTTGGGAATATATAAATATTAAAGAGAGCTTCGCTTTTAGCCCTGGCTAAATCTATATATTATTAAGAGTTAGGATCAGCATGGGTACAATGTATAACTTGCAGTAAGAAAAAATGCGAAATAAAATTTTCAGTTTTTTGGATTGTTCCTACCGTGTTAATGCCGCTAGATAGCCGATACCTCCACAAATACGAAGATAAGTTTGAAGTTAAAGTCCTATATCTTGTGTGGCAGTTCGCCGTCATACAAACTCTGAAGCATAAGCGACCTCCAAGCCGAACACCAGACGCCATATTGGATTCTAAAAAAACTCGTCCCCAGGGTTTTCTCGTTTTCCAAAATTGTCGCAAGCGATTTATTTTTGTCCTCATTCATGATTGATCACCTTTCTAATTAATCACACTTCTTGCTTTCGTTTGTAATTACTTCATTCGTTTTGTAACCCGAAGAAAAGCGGGATAATCGAAACATTTACATCGCGTGGCTAATATTCGCCTGGAGCTCTTCATCACAGCTTTCTTCCGCCATGTGCCGCCAGCAAAAAGATTTTTTGGGACCACTTTTCAAAAAGCTTGGTAACCATTCAAGTCTTTACGAGTGAAACCTGGGCTCCAACCAGGCTCAAAAATGGCGGAAAATGTGATTGTCTATGTGACTGCGATTTATGAACACCTCAGTTTACAATACGGAATTCGCATTGTTCTTGGATAAAAAGCGTACAGATGAGTTTCATCACAATACAGGAGAGGTAACTACATATTGTAGAGTAATTTACGTTTTTCTAGTTCGCTTTAAGGTTGGTGATGAAGAAATGGTCCCAAAATATGCTGCCAAGTCTCCTACACGATAATTTGGGAACACTTTTTACTTTGCCGAACTATCTTAAATTTTTTGAAAGTGAGAAGTACGTAAAAACTGGAGAAGAGATTGTTTATCAGCTTTAATACTTTATAATCTCAATTCTTATGCAGAATTCAATTTACCACAACCCCATTTACATTGGGTTAAAAAAAAACATGTTGAATCATGATATCCGATCACAAAGTTTTAATACTAATACAAGTAGGTGGGAGCCCAATGTTCACCTAAGGGGCAAATTAATTATTATAACGGCTTTTTGTGATCCTTTCTCTAACAACAAGTACTGTATTTGTTTTATTATTTACAAACTGTATCATTGCACTATCTATCTCATCATTGACTACGAGGCTACAGTTACTTTTGGTACAGATTAGTTAGTTATCTGCTAACTTCTATGATTTCAAAGAGCAATGTCAAAACAGTTCTGTACGCTGGCATATTTGTGATTAATTATTTCAAAACAATGTGCAATAAAATGTATTATTATATTCAGTTTTTATGATATCCAGAATAAGCAAGGTCTCGGTACGTGTTACCAGCCTTGGCCTTCAGCTTGGCTGATATAAGACTTACCTCAATCTTGATCATTCCGGATATCACAAAAATCGAATATAATATTCTAACCCCAAAAACCCGTGAGGTTTATCCTAACAAACGGAATACATATGGAATGGGCAGTAAAAAGTGGATAATAATTATTTGTGTGGCTCCAGACAATATCCATACAAACAAATCTAGGAATTATGGGAGGAAAGTGAGTCCTAAAAATGCCAAAATTATGAAACTTTGCAGAAAGGCTGCAGGTGAGTGAGGTTTGTCCATGAGTGTCTAGGGGAGAAGGGAGGGTAGAAATCCAGAAAACTTTCCGTGAAAAAAGTATGGATATTTTTCGGGAACAACATATTGATGCAAAGTTCACATCGTTTATAGAACCAACTTGAAATTATGCTAGCAAGAACTGACCTTTAAAGGCATGAACGGCTGTCTGTAGAGGTCACATTTCCTGTTAGTATATCTCCAGTACATCATTGTTCTGTCTTTATATAGTATATCTGGTATCAATGTTAATTTCAGCATTGTAACTATATCACCATAGCCGTATGTTTCTTCAACTTATACCTTCACAGTTATTAATAATAATTAATATATTGATTTAACTTGATTAAAACATGCTGTCATTATGAAATTTGATCTCATAGAGACTTAAGACAGGGAATGGTTCTTGCTGCTCTCTTGAGAACTGTCTTTGTTCCCTCCAGGGAGAAGCGTGGGTCCACTTCCCTGAACAGCACCCGCTGGTTGAGCCTAACTTTGACACAGAATCCTGCATAAGCTTTGTCTCATGGTGGTGGAAGGCCTCTGAGGCAGACATACCCATCTCAAAATAATTCTCAAAGGTAGCCTTTGTTGATGGAAGGATAGGGCAGAAACTCTGTAGGTGAAAGCTGTTGACGCTGTGATTGTGGTTCCACCATAATTCAACTTCACACATTTCATTTATTGCACGTTTGGTAAAAATTTTCACACTCATTTTGCTTTGGCAGTCAGTCTTCTTGTCCCTGTTTTTGGACAAGAGGTCAAGTTGATCTTCTGTGGTATTCATCGGGTGTGCTTGCCTTCGTAGCTGTTTCCTTTGTTGTGCTTTCTTTTTAGCATCTTCTTGTCTTTTGGTTAATTTTTTCGCGTTTGCACTGGCAAATATATTGTCCTGCAAAGAGTACTCTCTTTCCTTTCCTTGCATGACCCCCACTTTCTGTATTGTATTTTATGTTGGATGAAGTAGCAAGTTTTGATAACCACTTGTCAACATCTTCCTTGCATGCTATATCTTTAATACAGAATTGCACTCTGAAGCTATCTTGAATCATTTCACCAGGCAATTCTTCATATTGTAAACATTTGTATTGATATTCATGTGGAAGGATGGCAGAAACATTGTGAGGTAGAACTGTGGGATCAAGTTTTCTCTTCTTGGTTGGTAGAGGTTGGAAGTAACTATGATCAGTATTTGAGTGATTTGTTGTACCAGATGTTTGGCTGATTGGTTTGGTAGTAAGGGGAGCTTTGTTGAATACAGATGTTGGATTTGAAGAAGGGGCCTGGCTGTTTGGTGAGGTGGCAGCGTTGGCTGTTTTGGATCCTGATGTTTGTTCGGTAGTGGAGGCTTGGCTGTTTGGTGTGGTCGCAGCGGTGGCTTTGTTGGGTAGTGAGGTTTGTTTTGGTGCAGAGACTTGGCTGTTTGGCGAGGCAGTAGGGTTGGCCTTTTGGGATACTGAGGTTTGTTTCCCAGTAGAGACTTTGCTGTTTGGTGAGGTAGTAGGGTTGGCTTTGTTGGATGCTGATGTTTGTTGGGAAGCAGAGGCTTGGCTTTTAGGTGAGGTAGTAGGAGTGGCTTTGTTGGCTAATGATGTTTGTTTGGCAGAGTAGGCTTGGCTGATTGGTTTGGTAGTAGGCCTGGCTTTGTTGGATAGTGATGTTTGTTTGGCAGCAGAGGCTTGGTTGATTGGTGAGGTAGCAGGGGTGACTTTGTCGGATACTGATGTTTCATTGGTCATAGAGACTCTGTGTGGAGTACTTGTTGTGCTCATTTGGCTTGATGCTGCTGTGGTTCTTTTGAGTGTTTCTTTCCTGGTTTGAGTACTGGGAACTTTTATGTCCATTGATAGTGCATTTCTTGCTATGTCAAGAATAAGAGAGTACCTGAAATTAACTATGTCTGGGTGAGAAAAATCAAGTGGCAGACCCACAGAAATGTGCTGTGCCCATTTGGCTACAAATACTCCACAGTCATCACTGTTCAGTTGCTGTGGTATGTCAGAGGAGGGAATCGCGAAATATTTCCAGTCATGCATGTCCCAGTTCCTTCCCAAAATAGAAGCCGAGGAGGTCAAAAAGTTGTTCATTCTTGAAAATGCCATTTTTGCACCTGCACCATTATATAGGGAGTCCAAGTATATGGACATCTTCTCTTTCATGCTTACAACAACCAGACACCAGTGCCTACCATGGTTGAATGGTGCGAGAATGACCTCTGAATCAAAGATGTTAGGATACAATTGGTGAAAGTTGTATTTTTTGAATGTCTCTGTCGAAGATGTAATCATCCTTGTGAAGATGTCTGAGTTAAGGGTCCTGACCTTGTTGCCAACTGCTGTGGCCTTCTCCTCTATTAGTAAGAAGATCTTATTAAGGACAAAGTTGTTCAGCCAAGATCCTTCCTCTTCTTGTCCTGGCAAAAGTCTACGTAGGTCTTGCTCTTGCCAACCTTTTGTTCTGGGATGGTCTTGGATGGTATGCCCCATGGTCACAATTAGTTCAGCTTGCTCTTTTTCTGAGTCGCATATTGACATGTACTGTAGTGCAGGGCTTCCTTTTGCAGTTTTACAAACTGCTGCAGTTTGCACATCAAAACACGGTTCGGTGATGTAAAAGGATGGTGGAGTAGCTTGCTGGATTTGCATGTTTTCCTTGGAAGGATTTTGCTTGCTGTCAGTTGCTGATGGAAAAGAACTCAGGTTGTGTGGTACTTCTACCTCAGGGACATCACAAGCATCAGCCTTTTCATAAAATAATAGATATGCTTGTTGGCTAGTGGCCTCAAATGCAGTGCATTCTTTGATACGAGCATCATCAGCACAATACCACAACCCATTCCTTTTCATGAAGCAGACATAGTGACCTGAAGATAGATTATTTCCGAGGTGCACTACAACAGCGACAAGCTCGTAAGGTACTAAAGCACTTCCTGTTGACCCTGATTTATCCACCCCACTTACTTCAGTAAGTGTGAGGGTTTCATCATACTTTACTGTTTGCTTGATCTTATCACCACTGGAATTGAAACGCAAGAGTTGGAGACAGATGGTATTAGGTACTTTGCCAATAACCAAACGCTTCCAAGCTTCAGTTTGATCTTTGCAGCTAGTAAAAGAATATTAAATAATTGTGAAAAAGGACGTGCTTTCAATCTTTAAGTGAAGAAATTTTAAAAAATAAGATATCTTATAATTGCATGTTAATATTGTGTTACAACTCTGTATTTAACATCATTTTAATCCTTATTTTTTTTTCTTATTTTGTACATTTATTGTTCCTATTTGTCATGTATTTCTTTTTTTTTTTTGGCTTTGCAAGAGTATTTCCACATCATTGTCCTAGGAATGTAATTATCTGTTTTGTTTCCATTTTTTCCCGTTTCTAGTATAATGGTACTCATCCTTTTTTGCATAATGTTATCAATTTTATCACATATTGAGTCTGTGCAAGCCAATAGCCAATCCCAATGTTCATTCACTTTTCCAGTATTATTTCAGCAGCAGCACATGATCCCCCTGTAGAGACTTTCAAAAGGATAGCAATGTATGGATTTCGAGATCAATGATATTACAAGAAATGAAGCCTCAGGTCCACGAAACCCATGTAATAATCAACTATTGATCCATGTTAGTTACACGCAGGAAAGTGACAGTCATGTACAGCTTACTTGTAGCACATGTATGGTGTCTCCAGCTGTACTGGTTGGCTATGCGCCTTTACAAGCTCCTGAAGACTGCTTCCCTAATGAAAATGTGATTAAAATCATTTGAATAGCAGAACAATTGATTTTCCTTGCTACTTTTCCCATTTCCCTTTTAACCCCTCAGTCAGTATAATTCATAATTAAAAGAAAGTACGAAGGAGTACAAAGTAATGGAAATCTCCCTATCTTTTCACCCTTAGGCTTATATATTTGTTATTTTCTAAAAAGTTTTTTGGAAAAGTAGCAGTAACACCTCCAGGTTAGGAGAAGTCATTCTTTACAGTGCAAGTGTTTGATCTCTTGTGACAAACCAGCCTTATATGTATGTTTTGTGGCTTTCATAGTAACACTGTATTTTCCAAGCGGCTTTCATTATTGACTTTTGACCCCTGTGATGGTTAATTTGGCAAGTAATTAACAAGATGTGATCAGTATGTTAACCATGATTGTTTAGCATGCTTTCAAGATGTATTTTCAGAAAATAAGCCACCATATCAGTGATCATTTGCTGAGACCTAACATATCTTCTCTTTTCTACTTCTTCATTATACTACACGTAGGTTGTTACCTGGGCAAGGTGAAGAGGAAGAAGTGTCTCCATGCTAGAGTTGCAGCTCACAGTGTTACACTTCAAGCAAAGTATTTCACTTCTCAGATTGAAAAAAAATGTTTTCAAATATGACAAATCAATGTGCTGGGGAATGACACCATTGTTTTGGCATTCGTTGAATCTATAGCCAAGATAACGACAGTATTCCTGAAAGAACTCAGCAGCACATTGTTGTGCCCCTTTTTGAAACCTGGAGTTTATGTTGGGAAGCATGCTCATAAGAGTAGCTGGATAAACTAAACCAGGAGCAGTCTCATAGGCAGTGGTGAAGGATTTGGTGCTACACACAATGCAAGGTTTTCCTGTGGAAAATCAATTAGAGCAGAAAAGAATACTTTGGATTGCTGGGGAAGATAAATACAAGTTATTTTGACTAGGATTATTTTTTTTTCCTTGCTGATCACTTGTACTTGATTGGAATAGTTCAGAGGGGTGGGGGAGTTACATAGTGTTCTGTTCTGTTTTACCAATGAAGTGGACAATATTTTCTGTTGATTTAATGGTACTTTTATTCCATGTGTAAATTATTGTTTTTTAAATACAGACAAATATATTTATACACGAGGAGCTTGTGACACCCTAGAAAGTTTGTAGGAGTTATTTTCAGTATTTCCAGTTTCTGCCAATGTGAAGGTTTTGATAAGGTTCTGTGTTGCACTTCAAAATTGTTATATTATTACTCCAACATCACAATCAATAAAATTATTATACCAAGAATGCTTTAAAGCATTAATAGCCTGTTGAAGTTTAATTCTGCCTGGTGGTGTTCATCACATTTTGCCTACTTATACATAACAATATTAGATGATAATAATAATAACAGAGGCATAACCAACTTTTCCACTAGTTGTAAGCCTGGTCTATTGCCGCCAATAATTTCATTTCACATGTCCTGAGAAATTCTGGTTTACAACTCTCTTGATTGCAAGCATGACTGGTATGCACTGAACTGACCTAAATTTAGAGCTTTTTGGCTTGCCCAGACAACACATAAATTAGGCCACATTTGATATATTCAAATATAACTCTAACATGACTCCAAGGATTTCTGGTCATTCCTCTATATTTGGTCTCTTTTTTTTGTGCTCAAGTCTGCGGCAATTGGGAGACAATTGGGTTGCGAGAAATTTGCAGTTTCCACCCTAAAGCCTTGTAGTAATGTTAGAATTTTTTCATATATCAAACTTGGGTTATTTATTACAAGTGGTTGAGTGATCCAACCAAGAAAATGTAGGCCCAGGCTATGCCCCTAAATAAATATAATTATATTATTGTTATTATCATTTTTATTATAAGATAATGTCCAAGGACTGAGCTTATTTTCTGCAGAGGCTTTTGAGTGAATAAAACTGAACCAATATTCTTTCAGTGACCAAGTTTTCTTTTTTTGTGAACTTTGGGCTGAAATAATTATTTAAGTGGGGAATGGGTGAAGGAAAACCAAACAATTTTTTTGGCTCTTTAGGCCTCAGTGTAGTCTAAAAATGGGGGTGGTGTTTGTCCCCCACCCCACCCCACTAGATCCGCCACTGCAATAGCAAAGGTCACCCCCTTGAAATAGTTGAGTGTGAGTATGCACTCGAGCAGTCTAGGAGAACTTCAGATATACTTGCATGATGTTCAAAACTGACGAGCATACTTTCCTAATAAAAAAATATACAAGAAAGGAAAAAAGGGGACTACATCTCACCTGTTCTTCTGGCAACACATTTGTCTCTGCTATGTTCAGTGCCTTCAAGGCCCTTTGAAAACCTTTTCACTGATAACAAAGCTTGCAAAACACTATTTGCAAAGCAAGTATTATTTAAATTCTGAATGCCTTTCGGTTTCAGACACATGATGTACACCGATCCTTAGGGAAGTGAAATGGAGTAGCAGACTATAAACTTTACACCGGACAGAAAAGTTTTGTTATCTGTCGTCGACAGGCAACTAAACAGAAAGAACTGTGCGCCAAATTCCCGCCAAAAATATTAAGTTACAGAGAAAAATGTACATAGAAACGTCATAACTGTAGTATCTCGGATTTCAAAGTGGTCCCAAATTATCTCTCTTGTGACTGTCCAAATATTTTGGGAACACTTTTTACTTCGCCACGGGTAATATTTCTTCATAATCTTCTGGAACAATTGGTGTCCTTCTCTTCCAACATTCCAAGCTTTAATCGCTGTCGTTCCGCCACTGAAATGAAAGGAAAGCTTGCTCGAAGGGAGCGAAAAGAAGTGAGAACTAGTTTCCGCCATTTTGGAGCCCTATTGGAGCCCAGGTTCCACTCGTAGAAACTTGAATGGTTACCAAGCTTTTGAAAAGTGGTCCCAAAAAATCTTTTTGCGTGCCGCCATGTGCCGAACCTAATTATTTGGTTCGGCACATGTAAAGTTCGACTTATGAATCAGTTAGGATTGTAATTGTATTTGGGTCGACTCTGCCGTTCTATTCTACTGAACTTGTCGAATAGAACGGCAAAAGATCGTTTTGCGAGAGAGGACGCTTGAATTTCCAGGTTTTTGCGTGACGCGGCATTTAGCTGGGGCTGGCGCCCGGGGGGGGCACTTGGGTATTTTTTGGGTGGGTATGTGCCGCCCGGCACTCCAAATTTGCACCCCGTTCTAAAAACAATTTCCCCTAAAACTGATACCCCGTTCTAGAAATGGGCCAATTTTTTATACTCCGTTCTAGAAAGTTTGTAAATTGAAATAGCCCTGTTTTTTTAAAAGATATTTCTTTATTTGTTCGACTTACATCAAATAAATGCTTCTTCATAATCAGCAACAATTTTAGGGAGAAGATAAAGCCCTGATCCACAATTTTTTATACCCCGTTCTAGAAAACGCCTCTGAAATGGATACCCCGTTCTAAATCAGGACCTTCAAAATCACGACCCCGTTGGGCGGCACATACCCGTATAGGTAATGTATGGGAGTACCCCCCGGGGGCTGGCGGCCGGGAAAGCTCTTATGTGGGTTAAAGACATTACCGATTTTGGAAGATTTTTCAATCTAAACATTCCTTGTCACAGAATAAATATTACTGTAATCTTTATGAGTTCCTCAAGCCAAGAATTCATGCATTAGTAGGAAAACTCGAAAACAGATGTTTCTGTTGGTATCCGACGGCCATATTGGTGTTCCTGATAGGGACACCAACATGGCGTTTCCATACAAAGCTTTATAAATTTAGGTAAACCGTTTTTCCCAATATCTCGCATTTGAAATACTTCACAGGCCTGATTCTTGGCAAGGGTTTTTGTATATTTATCTTTTTTCATTTCCCAGATTCTAGTCCTTCTGTATTGAATGGTTTGCATTTTTATTTTTCATTACGTGACAGTGCAAGCCGAGAATAGGCCTCCTGGATCAACTGTGGAGATCATAAATAAATTTGAGACGAATGTACTGCACAAACTGGAATCTTAATACCACTTGGAAGTTAATATATAGTTAATATAGATATAAATTGTAGTGTGGGTAACCTCATATGATAGCATCACACAAAAGCTAAAAATTGATATTTGTGTTACGAGTACCAGTATATAGCCAACTCATTGGACAACCTACACGTATATCACAGCACACTTCTTCTATTATTGATCTGTTCTTGACAAATTGTCTGTAAGTGCCCCAGGCACGAGAATCAGAGATTAAGTTGATTTCAGTATTTTGTTATGTTTTTTTTGTCACGCAAGTCCCTTGACTAGTCAGGTGTTAATAATTATCTCGCACGTGATTTTAATATTAAAAGTTATTTCGTAATACAAGCAGAACAATATTCTGAAAGCACTCGTGCAAATCGCGTTAGTACATCTGAAGAAAGAAAGAAGGGCCTCCATTTATTGGAATTCACGAAGCTGACAATAATGTAAGTTCGTTTTTTAGGGCCTGTTTACATGGAGTGGGGGACCCCGGTCTAGTGGGGTTGGTTTCTTTTGTTTTCACGCTCTGGGGGACACAAAACAAAAGAAACTTACCCCACTAGACCGGGGTCTCCCACTCCATGTAAACAGGGTCTTAGTTCGTTTTCTTGATATGTTTGTTTTGCTACTTGCTTTCTTTAATTCTGTAAATTTCCTCTTCAGTTTCACGATACAATACAATGACAATACAATGGAGTAAAGACAAGACAAGACATAAATAAACAAACAAGATTTCCAGAACAAGCTGGTCCAAGATTTTTGTAGCATCCGTGAATCTTACGTGGTCTTAAGCGCCGCTAACCAGAGTCACAGAAGTTTTATAGACAATGTACTTGTACAGTGACCAGCCTTCACAAACTAGCACTCTTTGTGATCGTATTGGTTACAGCCTTGTGGATCGACGTATCCAGAACTTGTTAATTATTGTATTTAAGACAATTAACAATTATCCACCTGAATATCTGAGAGACCTATTTAGGTTAAGAGACAACATCAAAAACCTGAGAGGAGTTAACAGGTTGCAAGTACCGAAACCTAATACGACTCGTTATGGCAAGAACTCAGTAAAGTTCTTGGCGGCTATTACTTGGAACAAGATTTCTGATACCTTAAGATCCCTAAGCACATTGTCAGCCTTTAAAAAAGCAGTCCGACAGCTAAGGTTTTAGCTAATTCTATATAATATCTATGTTCTATCAAGTAATTGGGCTTTTTATTGTGAATAGCTATTTCACGTAATTTTTAGGCTTTATACTGTAAATAAGTTTTTGGATTTCCCTTTCTTTCTCTATTATTTTATTCATTTGTTTTCTTTTCTTTGCTTTTTTTTCTCTCGGCTTATTAGCATATTTTTTACTAGAGGTCTAACCAACCTCATCAAACCCGAGATTAAATAAAGCTTCATTCATGCATTCTGGTGTTTAGAATAAGTGATCCCGGTGGTCACTGTCTTGTGTATGCAAATATAGGATCATCATTGTCCCAAAATCTAGATCACAATGTACCTCTAAATCCAATATCAAAACTATCAGTAATAGATGCTTTAAAAACTTCATTTCAGAGAACTTTCGAAATGATTTAGCAATGTTACCCTGGCATCTGGTTGAACTGGAGGACATTACCCTGACACTCATGATTGTGTTAAATGACAACAGATGTTCTTAGGCATAATTATAGATAGGCATGCCCCATGTAAACAAAGGAGAGTGAGAAATGTTGCCTACCCCTGGATTACCCCAGTCATAAAGAAGCTAATGTTTCCAAGAGACAAATTTAAAAAAAATTATTTTCAAGGTTTCCTACTGAG